GGGGGTGACAGCCAGGACCTCTACCGAGATCACACGGGTCCTCTGCTGGAGTGGCTGGCCGCGTCCCAGCACGACTGGACTGTCCACTCTGCAGAACTCCAGCAATTTAACGTGCTGGTCACCCACGCAGGTGAGCCCCCCGAAACGCGCCCCCGGCCGGGTTTGGGCCACCCTGCCCCCCAGGTGTTCAGAGGTTTCGGCGTGAACCAGGGGGCCACAGACTGAGCTACAATGAACCAAGGTTCTTTTTTCAAAGCAACTCGCAGTCACTCACCTGTGGAGAACGAGCATCTTAAGGAGCAGTCCTGCTTTTTGGGGTGCAGGGGGCTGTGCTGGAGCTTCAGCTGCACGTCCTCAGGGCGCGTGTGAAGACGTGGTCCCTCACGGCCGCGGGAGCACTTCGCCCTCCTCCCGAGACCAGCTTGGCTCCTGGTCTGCGTCCTAAGTCAGCCGTTCCCCGAGGCAGATGGTGTTGTGTAATGGGGTGCAGACTTGGGCACTTTAACTGTCTTCGTCGGGGAAACCACGGCAACCCCGCGCGTGCCCCGTGCTTCCGGGGCGGGGCGCTCATCCCCTCACTGACAGCTGACGACAGTTCCGCGTCCTGTGGGCTGCGGACCGGCACACACTGTCTCCTGGTGCCCCGCCCCTCGTCTCCGCGGGCCAGGAGGCGCTGTGACTGTGCCCTGGATCCGCAGGGTCCCTGCTGTGCCTGACTGTGTCACCGTGACCCGTCATTGTGCCCGGAGAGTTTCCACCACCTAAGCTGGCCCCTCTTAGGACCCCGGTACCATGAGACCTGGAAAGCTCAAAATGGTTTGCAAAGCCATGTTTTCACACCTGAGAAGAAAACTCAGCTGTTTGCCAGCAGACGCTGTGTGACTGCTTCACGACCTCGGCCTTCATGTCCTTACCAGCACCCTGTCGGAGGAAGTGTCACCCCCGTTTCACAGAAGAGGAAGCTGAAGGCACAGAGAGCGTCAGTGGCTGGCCCGGGGCCACACAGCTGGTGAGCTGAAGCCGCAGTGCAAGGCAGCGTGGGGAGCAGCCTGAGTTTGTGCCGCTGGAGCCGTCACTGTGCTCAGACCCTTTACCCGGCAGGCACACCGATGGGACTTGTCCTGAGGAAATGGCGCTAGTCGCAGAGAGCCAGGTGCCCCATTCAGCGGGTAGAACTTAGTAGCAGAAATTGGAAGTGGCCTGGTTACTTATAGGAAGTCGCTGCGTGATCGTCTTCAGAAGGGCCCGGGCAGCCACCTCCACACCATCAGCCTTTGGAGCAGCGTGGGACACGCGTGTGTGCCATGTGGCACCTGTGCACACGCGTGGCACGTGGGCGGTTAGCGCTGGGAAGGACCGTACCATCAAGTGTCAGTGTGCGGTGTTGGTGTTTTTAGCTTTCGGAATACCCAGTGGCCCACTTCAGGAGCCCCGCGAGGGCCATCCGTGGGAGGGCAGCAGCAGGCGGAGCCTTTTCTTGACGTGCCCGTCACACGCACCGCGGGCCTTCGGTCTCCTGCCGGGTGTTATTTCCAGGGGCCCACGCGGCCATCGGACCCACTGCGCTCAGCACGTGCTCGGCTCGCACCGGGGACTGGAACCTTTGCCTGGCGCTTGGTGTCGTGTGCACACACTGGACACTTGATGTCCCTCACTGTACCTCAGGCATTGACAAACGCCCCACCGCCGTGAGGAGGCTTCTTACGGCTCCTGGGAACATCTGACGCAGACACGGGTGTTGGATGGTGTGCTCAGCGCTGGTCTGTAGAGGGCTAGCAGCCTGCAGAAGTCAGCCCAGCACGAGAGGGGACCAGGTGCTCACTGAACCGGGGTCTCGTCCCCAGTGCGACGGGGAAGAAAAGCCACAAGGTCTGAGTGCACACAGGCACAGTCTCATGCTCACCCTGCCATCCCGGACAGTTCCCATGACCTAAATGGGGCAGTGTCTGCTTTCTCCGCAGGTCCCCAGGAGCTCCAGGTAGACGAGCTGGCTCCCTCCAGCCGCGCTCCCTCTGGCCCGGCCTGCGGCCAGGGGTCCAGGTGGAGGCCGGTCTGCCTGCTCCGAGCTCTTACAGAACCAGTGGCTGTGCTGTGCACTGGGTGGGCTCAGAGTGACCGGCTTAGTCTAGAGCGCAGCCCCATCTGTGGGCACGGCCCAGCGGGGCGACCCCAGCCCCGATGCGGCGAGTCTCCAGGCCGAGCACCACTGGCCAAGTCCAAAACCTCCGTGGCGGGGAGAACCACATCCGTCCCTCCTTCGAGCACCCAGTCTGGAAACGGGGCTCTGCCGCCCGGTTCAGGGGCGAATAGTAAACAACTCAGCTGTTCTGAGTAGCTGGTTTTACTCTATCTTTCGTTGCTAGACTAATTTTTTTTAAGAATTTGGAAAAGCAAGACAATAGAAAGTTCACATATTGAACAATTGGAGTGATGCGAGGATTGAGTTGATGAGCACGTCCGGGAGCCCGGAGGGGGGGCCGTGGAGAAGGAATGAACTATTGATATTGATCTAAGAACAACTTGGGTGGATCTCAAGGGTATTATGCTGAGTGAAAAATGCCAATCTCCAAAGGTTATGTACTTTATGATTCCATAAGGCATTCTTGATGTGACAGAATTATAGTGATAGAGAACAGATTAGTGATTGCCAGATATTTAGGGTTCAGGGGATGCCTGTGCTGCGGGCCCAGCCCCACCGGCTCTGTGTTGCAGGCCCGGCCCTCGGGGAGGCGCTGCCGCACCTCGTCCCCCTGCTCAGGAGCTGCCTCCAGCCGGCCAGAGACCCACAGATGCGCCTCAAGCTGCTCTCCGCCCTGTCCCGGGTGCTGCTGGACGCGAGGGAGACCGTGGACTCACGAGGGTAGGTGCTCCGCCCACGCTGCCCGCACCCCACCCCGCTCTGCGCCGGGCCCCCCCACGGCCCCCCAGCAGAGCTCTCAGGTGGGAAGTGGAGTGGTCCCCGCTGCCTGCAGCTCATGTTCCCCCGGATGCACAACGAGGTCTCGTCAGTGAGCGCACCAGAGACACCGAATCGAAGTCGCTGTGGTGCGGCCGCTAAAATTCCATCGAACGAAAAGTTCTAGAGCACGTTAACTATTAATGGCTCGTACGTTAGTTTTAAAAGGCTCTGGTGCCTTCCCAACCCGAGAGAATTGATCGAATCGCTGCCGATGGTTAAAGCGTGAAGGGAGGGGCTTTTAGGCTGCGTTCCAACTGTGGCTTCGAAGTAAAGGACAAGGAGCAAGCGGCCAGAGGTAGAACCGATGGGTCCAGGCAGCCTGGGGCAGCGCCCCCCGAATCCCCAGGACACCCAGACAGGACACAGGCCTCGCCATGGGGCAGAGACACCCCGGGCCCTGCAGGTCCCCTTTGTTAAGTCGGCAGGGCTGGGTGGGTTGGGGCGTGCGGGCTCACGGGCCTAGTCGCTGGGTGAGCCGTGAGCTGTCTGGGGGTGGCCGTCCCTGAGAGGGAACAGATCAACCAGAGGCCTGCTTTGTCGTTGACGCGCAGCGACCGTCCCCCACGGAAATGGCCGGGCCGGTGAGACGTCTCCGAGTGCCACTCTGGTCTCTCTGTCGGGCCCCCAGCCAGACACCTTACTGCAAGAAATTTGACTTCCTGCTTGTCTGCAAAGGTGTCCAGGCTTGGGAGGGACCATAGGAGCTGTCGAGCGCGGCGCTGGCAGCTGCCCCGTCAGTAGGCACGGGTGACCTGCGAGGCCCTGTGCACGCCGTCCAGGCCCCGTCCCCTCGGAAGCTGCACTCGGCCATGGCCCTGAGGGCACTTAACCCGCGGAGTCCCACCTCCAAGTTTGGACCAGCTCCTGAAAGAAACTGCGTGAAGACCTCACGGAAGAAAACCGGGGCTGAGAGAAGAAAGGTGCTCGATCCGCAGTGACTTAGGTGAAGGGTCAGCAGCTCTACAGACGGGAAGGCTGACGGTAAGAGCGTCCGCTTGGTTTCGATCTTTAGGGTTGTGGGATGGTAGGGGATAAACTACGTCACTGACTCTGCTGAAACAGACAGACCGTCATCCGTCAGAGCATCCGCTCATCGGGTCAGCGTTTTCGGGCACCTGTGTGGCTTGTGGGTCCTGCTCTGAGTGTGGACAGAGGGCAGGTGCCTGGGGAGAGGCTGGCTTCTGGCCCCAGGAGGTTCTGCCTGGGACACGCCAGTCAAAAAGGCTTCCACGAGCCTCGTTAACGTGCCACAGAAGTCCTGAGGGAACAGCAGGGACACTGGGGTCCCAGTTTGAGGACAGCCCCTTCCGGAGAATCGCCTCCTAGGCTGGAGAGCAGTTCCCTTTATGAACAGGGGGTGCTCCTTCCGCAGAGCGCCCCAGAAAGAGGCGGTGTCCCCTCGGGCTCCTGTCCTGCTGTGGGGACCCCCTGGAGGCCACCTGGCCCATTTTCTGCAGTTGCTTCGTGCAGGGACGCTTGTCCAGCTCCCGCCCGCGGGCTCAGTCCCACGGGGGAGCGGGCCCGGCAGCCATGTGTGCACAGGCTCCCCGCCTCCGGGGGCCTCACCCGCACAGGGCGCGTCTCCCTGTGTACGTTCGAGTCTAGCGCTCTTACTGCCTGGCGTGCTGACACCTCAGAGGGCGGTCCAGACTGCAGCCGGACAGCGCGCATGGCCGCTGCCCATCTCCCAGGGCCAGCGCGTGGCCCTCAGGCTCTCCCAGCCACCTCGAAGGACAGCAGGCAGGGCAAAGTCCTTCCAGAGGGTCCTCTTGTAAGTCACTCTGCAGGAAACAGCTCTTTGCTTAAGAATTAAAGCACGTTGAAAACCTGATTGAACTGACTGAGCCACAGGAGCCCTGTGCACTGGCGCACCTGCTCCCTTACCTTCCTGGCAGGCTCTGGAGCGCCCCCTGCTGGAAGCAGCGGAGAACGCCGGCGCCCTCGCCCTCTGCACCGGCGGCCTCTGAAGCAGCTGAGTTTGCCACGCGGAACGTGCCTCTGGAACATACTTTGCAATTACGCTGGGAAATAAACTAATGAATTACTCATTCAACCGCATACACGTCGATCTGAGGGCAGAGGCCTGTGGGTGCAGTAGGACCTGGCAGCAGCCCTGGCGCTTGTCTCCGGGCGGTGAGGTGCCCACCACAGGGCCCTGCAGTACTGAGCCACCAGCCACGTGCAGACTTGGCGGGCCGGGGCTCTGCTGGCCTGGTCGATGCTCCTGGAGACGTGTGCTCGGGTGTAGCCTTGCCTCCTCCTCAGAGCTGGAGGACAGGTGAGCCCCTCCACAGCAAGGCGGGACGGAGGCTGGAAATATACCCGGGGTTCTCTGGAGTTCGAGACCCGTGGCTGGTCCCAGGAGAGGCCCACAGGATCTCCGGGGACTGCAGCCTGGCCCTGACGGCCACCTGCTGTGGGAAGCAGAGGGCTCTTGCTGGGGGTCCACTTCCCCTTTCACTGCTGCCCTCTGTTTGGCCTTTTCCTCTCTGCCAGGTCCCTTCCCAAACCCAAACGCTTCCTCACGGAGAGTCTGCCCTTCCTCACCAGCCTTCTCGTGTCTCCCTGCAGGCAGTTTCACAGCTACCTGGACACCGTGATAAAGGACATCTTGGTCCCCAATCTGCAGTGGCACGCAGGGAGAACGGCCGCGGCCATCCGCACGGCGGCTGTGTCCTGCCTCTGGGCGCTGGTCAGCTGCGAGGCGCTGTCTGCCACACAGGTGAGGCTCAGGCGTCCTGGGCCGCTGCAGGCGGGCACGGCTGCCTGCGGCTCCCTGGCCTCGCCGGGAAGCGTTTTGTTTCCTTCGGCCATCTTGCAGGTTTTCTTAGGTTTGCATATCAAACGTTACTCTTAAGACAAAGAGTTTAATCGCAGGCATATGTGTTTTTGCTGCGTTCATGCCTTCACGTGAAACGCCTCGCCAGGTGCTCACCTGTGTGAGCGCCCCTCCCGCTGGGCAGACCAGTGGTCACCTGTGTGAGCGCCCCTCCTGCTAGGCAGACCGGTGGTCACCTGTGTGAGCGCCCCTCCTGCTGGGCAGACCGCTGGTCGAAGGAAAAATGCCCTTTGTACTTTCTTGGACACAGTACACAGTCACACGAGTAAGTGGCAGGCTGCGTAGGGTTTGTGCCACAGCAAGACTTTGTGAATAATGGACTTTTAAAAGTCAAGTGACCACGTTAAAAACTGTTCAAATTGTCTAGATTTTAAAATCGAGCTTCAAGTCCACTTCTTGTGCAGGAATTCCAGAACTGCATCCCCGACGCCGTTATGTTTGCGTCGGAACCAGGTCCGTGGTACTGCGCAGGCGCCGTCAGCATGTCCCGTCTCCTGTTTGTCCTGTCGCAGATACTGGACGTGCAGGAGACACTGATGCCCCAAGTTCTGAGCACCCTGGAAGAAGATTCTCAGATGACTCGACTAACTTCCTGCCGAATCATTAACGTATTTTTGAAAACCTCTGGTGGTGCGATTGATCCAGATAAATTCATCAAGATTTATCCTGGTAGGACATTTTCCTTTTCCAAAGCACATGTATGTATTTGTTTGACAGCTGTTTCTTTGATAGGAAAAATAGAAAATGCTGCTTTGACTTCTAGTAACGTCAATGCCATGACAGATAAAACATCACTGAACAGCTAACAACGCAAGGGACAAGACAGATCTGTAGACCAGAAGTGGGGTGCAGGGGACCCAGCAGAAGCAGGGCAGGAACTTGGGTTCCTGCAGCAGCTAGGGGTGCAGGCCCCACCTAGGGGCCCCCTCGGAGCAGGAGCTGGAGCCAGCCTCCGTGTGTGGCTTGCCCACCGCCCTTGAAACCCCCGTGTCACTGCCTCTGGACCCCGAGCCCCAGACAAATCCCAGACCAAAGCAGCCGCGGGCGAGTGGTAAGCGCAAGTGGCCTGCAAACAGGCTCCTGAGGCCTGGCAGCACCGGCCTGAGAGGGACAGCAGATGTCCCCAGCCCTAGACCGGGCTGTGACTTACAGTGCCACCTCAGTTACTTTTCTAGAATGTGTTTGACGTCCTCAAAAAGCTAAAGGTAACGTCCATTGAAAAACAAATTGGAAATCAAAAAGGTAGGAATTCAGAGCAGGTCACGTGACAAAGAGTGCCCAGGAATCCGAAGCACCACCCCAGGAGCCGTCCCGAGGGGCCGAGGTCAGAGGTCAGAGGTCGAGTCGGAGCGCGGGGCTGCGGTTTCCCATTTTTAAACCAGTTTTCATCGTCTGTGCTGTTTGCCACGGACGTTTAGTAATTTTTAAAAGATAGTTTTAAGAATTCCTGGAAATGAACAGTTGCACTGGGCGGACTGCACCGGGTGGGGCAGAGGCCGAGTTCTGAGCTGAAGGGCCGCGATTGGCCTTTGAGGGGGGGTGCCCCTGCCACCCGCTCACCCCCCCTCCACCCCCCACTCTCCTTCCAGAACTCCTGAAGCGCCTCGACGACATTTCCAACCAAGTGAGGCTTGCAGCCGCCTCCGCCTTGGCCACGTGGCTGGAGTGTGTCAGGAAGGACAAGAAGGCTCACTACCAGGGCGACATCCAGTTCCTGTACCGGGAGCTCCTGCTGCACCTGGATGACCCCGAGGGCGCCGTGCAGGACGCCATCCTGGGTAAGCGTGGCGGAGACCCGGCACTGAGTCTCTTCCCTGTGTCGAGGGCATTAGCACAGTCCTTCCAGCAGGGGGCGGTGGTCCCTTGAAGCACCCCAAAAGCCATGGTCTCCCTTGGTTATGGCCTGTGATGTTACCATAGTGGGAATTCAAGTGGAGCAGATTCTAAGACGTTTATCAATTTGTTTAAAATAACAGGCCCATTCCGTAGTAACATGAGTAAGATGTGTTTTTGAAAGATGTATTCTCCAAATCAAAGCAATGAGCAGGAAGGGTGTCACTGTTTTACATCTTTGCAAATCTCTTTAACGTCTAGCTTGGTAGAAGGCACCTAGATTTTGTCACCTACTTCTGCGCGGGGCGGTTGTCACACAGTGTTCTGGTCAAAACACAGGACGAAATCTCGCCTCAGACAGACGTGTAGGTGGGAGAGGGCACTTTACAGCCGTCCGGGTGAGCGTGGCCTCGCTGACCCCACGCCTGAACCGGCCGCGTGGTCGTCGTCTGAGCGTTGCGGGGAGGTAGGCCCACGCCACTGTGCCACCTCGCTGGGGATGCTCGGGCCCGTGGGCCCGTCCTGCACCTCAGCTGCGTGCGTCGGTAACGCTGCGGTCTGGCCGCTTGGAAAGGGACACCGTTGAATCGTGCGTCTTCTGCGTCACGTTTGTTAGCATCAAGCTCAGAAGAGTCTTGGGAAGAAAAGCTTCTGGAACATGTCATGCCCGTGGTGGCAGAAACAAGATTTCTGGAACTGTAATTTCTGCTCGAAAGCTTAAATTCTATCAGTGGCCACAAATACGGTCACTTCACTCATTATCAAGAAAATGTCCTGCCTGGTTCCCAAGTCTCAATACCCGAGTCTGTCAGTCGTTTGTCCGTGGTCGTCCCGTCCAGTAAACGTGGCGTTCCCGGAAAGCTGCTGGCTCTGCCGCCACCCGAGGCCACACGTCCCGTCCGCACACAGCGTCAGGTCGTTCAGGAGACGCTGAAAGGCCCAGGGTGTCCACCGATCCCTGCAGCAGCCCCCGAACGCGTGAAGCGAGGAGCTGCGACAAACGGCCAATAAGTAGATTGGATTGGCGTGGGGTTTGGAACCTGCTCACACGACCCGGAAGAAAGGCGGGCGGGAGGGAGCGTAGGGACGGGAGCGAAAGGAAACAGGCCGCCGGCCGAGTCCGGCGTGGCAGCAGCCCAGCGAGGGGTGGTTTCTATTTTTCAGTTACAGTGACATTCGGTATTATTGATATTGGTTTCAGGTGCACAGCAGAGTGGTTAGATGTCTGCGTGACTTAGAAAGTGATCCCCCAGTCAGCCTAGTATCCAGCTGGCACCGTGACTGGTTATTACAGTATCATCGACTATATTCCCCATGCTGCAGTTCACACCCCGTGACTGTGCCGTGTCTGCCCGTCTGCACTTGATCCCGTCGCCGTTTTCACCCAGCCCCCGGCCCCTCCCGCTGGCAGTCGCCAGTCCATTCTCTTTATGAATCTGTTCTCATCTCATTTGTTTATTTTGTTCTTCAGACTCCACACATACGTGAGATCGTGAGGTCACATGGTGTTTGTCTTTCTCCGCCTGACTTACCTCATTTAGCCTAATACCCTCTGGGTCCATCTCTGTCGTTGCAGTTGTAAAATGTCATTTGTTTTGTGGCTGAGGAATATCCCGGTGTATGTGTGTATCACAGCTTTTAGATCCAGTCGTCTGTCGATGAGCACTTAGGATGCTTCTGTATCTCGGCTATTGTGACTGCGCTGCCATGAACATGGGGTGAACGTATCTTTTTGAATGAGTGTTTTGGATTTCTTTGGATAAATACTCAGAAGCGGAATGAATCTGCTGAGGACCGTCCACGCTGTTTTGCGTAGTGGCCGCGCTAACTCGCATTCCCAGCAGCAGTGCACGAGGTCCCTTTTCCCCGTGTCCTCGCCAACACTGGTTTTATGATTTATCGATGACGGCCATTCCGACAGGTGTGAGGCGATATCCTTGTGGTTTGAATGTGCGTTTCTCTGACGATTAGTGACCTCGAGCATCTTTGCATATATCCTTTGGCCATCTTTATGTCCTCTTTGGAGAAATACCTATTCAAGTCCTTCGCCCATTTTTTAATCGGATCGTTTGGTTTTTTTGGTGCTGGGTCATAGGAGTCCCTTGTATGTTTTGGATATTAACCCCATAGTGGATGTATCGTTGGTGAAGATCTTCTGCTCGGGGGCTTGTCTTCTCGTTTTGTTTCCCTCACTGTGTGGAGCTTTTTAGTTTGGGGTAGTCCCATTTGTTTATTTTTTTCTTTTGTTGCCTTTGCCCGAGGAGAGACATCCAAAAAGATGCTGCTGAGAACGACGTCAGGAGTTTACTGCCTTTGGTTTCTTCTAGGCGTTTTACGTTTCGGGTCTTACGTTTAAGTCTAATCCATTTGTAGTTTGTTCTTATGATGGAAGAAGGTGTCCAGTTTCGTTTTTTGCATGTATCTGTCCAGTTTTCCCAGCACAAGTTATCGACCAGGCTGTCCTTCCCGTTGCGTGTTCTCGCCTCCTTCGTCATAGATTAAACGACCATACAGGCGTGTGTTGATTTCTGGGCTCTCTGTTGTGTTCCATTGATCTGTGCGGCTGTTCTCAGGCCAGCACCGTGCTGTTGGATTTCTATAACCTTGTGTTGGTTGAATGTGCATTTCTGGCGTTTGCTGTTTTGCAGGGGTGCTCAAAGCAGGCAGCGTCCTGTTCCCTGACGCCCTGCTGAGGGAGACGGAGGCTGTCATCCACAAGCATCGCTCCCCCGCCTACTGTGAGCAGCTCCTGCAGCACGTGCGGGCCGGGCCGCCTGCTCAGTGACGGGCCGGGAGCAGAGCCGTCGGTGCTGCAGCTGGAGGGGGGAGCGGACCCCAGCGGGCGCCTCTGTGTCAGCAGCCGAGAGCACGCACAAGGGGACTGGCAGCGAGGAGGGTGTATTTCCCAGGAAAATGCCCCGTGTCCTCCTGGGGCGTGTTCCAGACCCAGCAGTTCCGGAAACAGCATTCGCTGAGTGGCTCTATGTGCTTATGTCCTTCTACGCGGTTCATCGAGAGGTCTGCCAAAAACCTGCAGCTACTTTAAAATAAAACTAAACGCCGCTACGCACACTGGCAGCCAGGCCAGCTCGCGCTCCGGGTTCCGGGGTCACTGGCTCCAGTGCCCACCAAGAATGTTCTCGACAGTTTTTCTAAAAAAGCCAAAGGGATTCGAAGGGAATTGCTTGCTTGCTTTAGATTCTGTCCACTGACGTTCAGCATCTCAGTGAACAGCCTAAGAAGAGTTCGAAATCCTAAGAACGATCATCAGTGAAATTTTTCCCATTTAAAACATACTGGAACTTAAAATGTTATACGGCTGTAGTCGGTCACAGTGTTTTTTCTTAGGTCGGTAATGCTAAGTGTTGAAAGTAGAATATTTAATCAGATATAATTTTGGTTGTTGTGTTACAAGTAGCAGTAAAATAAAATTTTATTTTATTCTCCAGAACTTTCTACACCCAAGTGCCTAAAAGGTTTCAATTGAAGTGGTTATCATTTCCATATGTTAACATAAAGGGAGATGCTGTATGAATTTTTCAACAATCAAATAGTAACATTTATGCTTTGCTATTTGAAATTTAATTAAAAATATTTATTATTATTATTTCACATGCTTGTCTTTGTGTGTTTTGATAACTGACACTTGTAGAAATCGCTCATCTTTTCCTTAGATTGAACCCCAGGGTGCACCCAGCCTCCCGCATGCCAGGCTCTGCAGTCTGCCTCAGCTCATTGCAGTGTCCTCTCTGGCCGCCAGGTGGCAGGAGCTCCGCACAGAGGGTCACCGGGGCGTGGGCCAGGCTGCCGTGGGCTGGGGCGGCTGGGCAGGGTGGCTCTGGCACTAGACAGTGGGGTCGCTGCTGCCCAGACCCCCGGGGCCACGTCCCCTGGCTGCACTGCCATCACCCTGAAGTCGGACTGCTGAGCCCTGAGTCTGATTGGTGGGCACAGGGATCTGGGAGGCCCTCAAGTGTGGTCTTGCTCACGCAATAGTTCCCGAACTGCCCTTTGCCCTCTGTCCCCTCTGCCTGTTCCCTCCTCAGCATCACCTGAAACCTGTTAAAACTGCCCACAACTGCCCACTGAGCCCTCCAGGGGACCGCCCCCCTGAGCACCGTGCATTTTCACGTCCCGCCAGGAACCCATCTCCCATGTTCGGTCAGCCCACAGGTGGCACAGGAACCGACAGTAACTGGCAGAGAGCTTGGCCAAGGGGACAACACTGTCCTCGACAAGCCAGCGTGGGTCGGGTGCCGGCACCCATGGGTGAAGCACTCATGCGTGTGTCACGTTCGTGTCAGGGCGACAGAGGCAGCGTCGCCGTGGCTCAGGTCCCCTGCAGTGTCAGCAGGTGTGTGTGTGCGGAGAAAGTGCTCTGACGGCAGAGGCTCAGTGACCTAAACACCCCAGCGCATCGCGTCCCTCCGCACTTAGTTCTCGGAAACTCGTAAGTTCCTCGATTCAACCAGCAAAGAATACGGCCCCAGCCTCCGGGTGACAGACAGGAGGCAGTCCTTGAGGTTGACAGCATTATCAAGGTAGCATTTACTCACCGTGACGCTCAGTCATGCTGAATGTGCAGTTGGATGAGTTTTAGCAGATTTACAGAGCTGTGCACCCATCACCACGACCCAGTTTGGGAACACGTCTGTCACCTCAAAGCGTTCCCTCAAGCCCGTTGGCAGTCGGTCCCCACCCTTGTCCCCAGCTCCAGCCAACCACGGACCCGATTCTGTCTCCAGTTTTGTCTGTCGCCCATTTTCCACGTAAAGGGAACCACATGTCTAATGTGACTTTTTCCACTCAGCGCAGTTTTCGAGGCGGTTCATCCATGCACTGGGTCGGGGCCAGCGAGCTTTCCGTGAAGGGCCCTACAGTGCCTGCCACAAATACACCACTGTCATGTTCACCTGTTGCTGGACACCTGGGTTGTGCAGTTGGCGGCTATTATGAATAAACTGCTGTGGCATCTGTGAAATGTGTGGGCACGTCCCATCGCTCCTAGGCGGATGCCTCGGAGCGGAATCCCTAGGTCACATTTGATCCACAGTCGTTGTCTCCAATACACTGATTTATTGCTGCTTTCACCGCGGTCTTGAAGTGCCCTCCATCTACTATTAACTGCCCATGTCGAAAGTGGGCAATTTACTGTTCCGACATGTTTACACCCATGAAACCACAACCACATCACGGCGAGCCCTCCCGTCACTGCCAGGGGGCTCTGCTACCCGCCCCTCCCACCTCCAGGCAACACCGACCTGCCTGGGTCACTATAAGATGGTTGGGCATTTTTTAGAATTATCTGCAAATAGATTTGTGTAAAATATACTCGTCCTGCTTCTTCCACTTGGCGTTTCTCTTTGGTTGTGCTTTCCGACTCACATCCACATGGCTCCTGCCTTTCACCCTACAAGTCACCTCACTGAGCCCGAAGAGAGCACCCTGGTTAATATGGCGCCCGGTTAATGTCGCGCCCTGGTTAATGTCACACCCTGGTTAATACGGCGCCCGGTTAATGTCGCGCCCTGGTTAATACGGCGCCCGGTTAATGTCACGCCCGGCTAATGTCGCGCCCCAGGGCTCGGTCTCCTTCCTGGGTGCTGCCTTCTCTGTAGCGCTCATCCTTTCCTAATACACTGTGTAGTTTTTCATTTACCCTCCTTATTGTTTATGAACTTTCTCACTTCACGAGAATATGTTTTATCAGGAAAGGGATATTATGGGTTTTCTTCCCCCAAGATAAATTCTTTTTTTTTATTCCCATCCCCCAGCCCCTTCCCCTTTGACAACCATTGTCTCGTTCTCTGTACGGATCTGTTCCTGTTCTGTTTATTATATGGTTTTTTTAGATTCCACACATAAGCAAAATCATACGGTATTTCTCTTTCTCTGACATTTCATTTAGCATGATACATTCTAGGTCCCTCCGTTTTGTCACAAATGGCAGGACTTCATTCTTTTTTACGTCTAATACTGCACTGCAAATTTTACCACCTCTTCTTTATCCAGTCATCCCTGATGAACACCTAGGTGGCTTCCACATCTTGGCTAGTGTAAATAATGCTGCAGTGCTCATAGGGGTGCTTATGTCTTTTCAAATTAGTGTTTTTGTTTTCTTCAGATAATCACCCAGCAGAGGAATGGCTGGGTCGTATGGTATATCCATTTTTAACTTTTTGAGGACCCTCCGTACTGTTTTCCATAGTGGTTGCACCACTTCGCAGTCCACCAACAGTGCACGGGGATTCTTCACATTCTCGCCAACGCAAGGTTTTCTTAACGTGTTGGAAAGTGTAATTTGAAGAGACGAGACAGTGTGTGTTGCTGGCTGACAGCAGATGGTAATCGTAGACGGAAGAATCTATTTAGAAGTCTAGGTGTTCTCTTCCTGGACTAACTGCTGGCTTTTTTTTTTTTTTAACACCTACAGCACCTGGTCTTCCTAGGCGGTCTCCCATCCAAGTACTAACCCAGCCCGACCCTGTTTAGCCTCTGCTGGCATTTTTATACTCTAGGACTTTGTTAGTTTCCTTATATCTCCGTTCTTCAAAATGTTGAGGCTGAAGTGTTGGCTGATTGAGAGGAGAGGAGGTGGTGACGAGAGCGAGTGCCAAGCGGGGAGAGAACAGTGGCCTGGTCTTCCTAGGCGGTCTCCCATCCAAGTACTAACCCAGCCCGACCCTGTTTAGCCTCTGCTGGCATTTTTATACTCTAGGACTTTGTTAGTTTCCTTATATCTCCGTTCTTCAAAATGTTGAGGCTGAAGTGTTGGCTGATTGAGAGGAGAGGAGGTGGTGACGAGAGCGAGTGCCAAGCGGGGAGAGAACAGTGGCCCCTTATCAGTCCCCTAATGACACGCACTTGAGTTGAGATTTTCAATGTCAGGTTCGATTATTTTGAGCTGTGTGTCCACGCAGGAGATATTTGGGGTTTACTGTAAGCACACACATCGATCTCACTGCGTACACAGCTGTAAATGACCAAGACTGGCAGGTGAACAAGCTGCCGCAAATGACCCTTCTGGGAAGACGTCACCTGCCCTTGGGAAGTGACGTTGGTCTTAGTGGTAGAATGCCAGCTCCAGCAACTAACACCTCTCATCAAAGTGCTTTAGCCTGGATCTCTTCCTCTAATTCGTGAAACAATGTCAGGAAGTCCTGCGAACATTTCACAGACAACTTGAAACCGCTGATGACATTTGATGGCTAAACCAAGGATAGGAATTGCTAATTTGGAGTATAAGCTTTTTACAGGATAAAACTCTATCTTATTACAGCGCAGTGAGTGTTTCTGACTCTGAGTCCACAGCGGACTTCTCTCCGCAGTGCAGATGCCCCAGTGACCCTTGGTGTCCTGAAATGACGCACGCCTGCTCCGGCCGCTGGGGACTCCCGCGGGCGCTTAGAAGTCTCCTGGGACTCCCTGCAGATCGGTCCTCCTTTGGCTGGGCTGGCCAGAGGTCCCCGCCCCGGCTGCTCCCTTCTTGCCAGCATGTCGCAGTGTTTGGCCTCTCTCCGTACGTCGCACAGACGCCCTCCTACGGGCACAGAAGAGCGTGACTGTCAGTGCGGGCACTGACCGGTGACCTCAGGAGTGTCGCCTGCACCTGTCTTCGGCTGGCTCCGCCCCCGTCCGGCGACCGCGCTCCAGCACGGCCTCCAGGTCTCGGATCCCCCCAGCCG